TTAGTTTACAAGACTTTTATCTTCTTGGTTAAGTTTATTTCTAAGTATTTTATGCTTTATGAAGCTTTTATAAATGGGATTTAGTTAAAATTCATTTTTAGGTAGTTCATTCTTAATGTTTAGGAACACAAGTGATTTCTATATATTGATTTGGGGTCCTGAAGTTTATTGAATTGATTAATTAGTTCCAACTGTTCTTTTGTGAAGTTTTTAGGACTTTTTAGATGTAAGATCATGTCATCTGCAAACAGAAAAATTTTCCTTCATTTCTTTCCAATTCTGGTGATGTTTATTTCTTTTTCTTGTCCTATTGTTCTGGCTAGGATTTCTAGTACATGTTAAATAGAACTGATGAAAGTGGATATCTTCAACTTGCTCTTTATTTTGGAGAAAAAGCTTTCATATTTTCACCATTGAGTATATTAGCAGTGTGATTTTTATTTACATATATCAATTATATTTCAACAAAGCTGTTAAAACATAAAAAAATATTCTGATAGCAGAATATTAGGAAATATTAATAAAAGTTTCAGGCCTTGGTTGCTAATAGTGATGGTAATAGTGTGTATTTAGAGTTAAGCACATTTGAAATGCAATGCTCTATTTTTGTGGGAGAAGAGGATGAGACAGTTTTTATTGCTTTGGATCTTTGAGATTAGGTGGTGAGAACAAGACAGAAAGTGTCTTACGGGAGGACCCTTAGGTTACATGGCAAAAAGAGTACAAGGACTAAATTCCTTTTCACAGTAAAAATTCTGGAAAACTAGCAAGAGCAGAGCATGATTAACTAGCTCTGTTTATTCTGAGGGATCAAAGAGACTCACCTAGAATACTTCATGGGTGAAGATTCAGAAATTCATCACATCCAACCCACTCATTTTTCAGAGAAGCAATCTATGGCCTTGTGTAGAGGGGTTTGTCAGTCAAAATAACCTACCCATTATCAAGTGCTCATAGCACAAGCGAGAAGCAAACTAAGAGTGAACTTGTGTCTGGTTGACACCTTCACCATCACCATCACACTCTTGGGAAGGTATATATTTTTTCTGAAGTACTTTAAAGGCTCATGCTATTTTTTCTTTTTGTTTGACTCCAAATGACAAAGAAGATAAGTGGTTTGAAATTATAAAAACTCAGCTGAATATATAGAAATTTTTCTAGGAGTTAGAGATGTACAAAGTTGAAATGAGTCAGCACATCATAGGTCAAAATTTAGTGAGCATGGTTTTGGGGAGGTGATCAGTCATCTGTAACTACATGGATTCAAGAGTGACATGACAACTGTGGTGAGCTCAGAGAAGTTTCCCCAGCATTGTCTTGGTAGGTGGCTTGGAGAAACTTGAAAATCACAGAATCTTAATGAGTCTGAGGAAGGCATCAGAGAGTGGTCAGCTCACGATAGAAGGACTAGACATTCCTCTACCTCTTTGTTCCTTCAGGAAACCTTCCATGTTAAGCTTTGCTATCCTCAGGATCCATAAAATCCTGTGACAATTCTCAGTTATGATACCTGACCCACTGGCTTAGTACTGAATACTTGAGAGGGAGATGTTCCTGAAATAGTCCAAGACTATTCTCAACCAAGATGGCAGACATTAAGAACTCAAAAAATATTTGCTATTCCTATTGTTTTTATCAGCTGGTCTTTCTTTGAGAACATTAGGTGATGAAATGAAACTACTTCGTGAATGCACTGTGTCATAATGAAAATACATGGACTTTAGGATCAGTCAAAATTTATTTCAAGTTTTGGCTTAATCACGTAACAGCTCAGTAGTTGTCACGTGATTAAGGAGAAGAGCTTAACTCTCTTGAGGTTCTGCTTTTTCATCTGTGTGATGGAAAGTAAGATTTGTCTCAGATGGATGCTGCAAAGATTGACCAAGGAGGCATGGAATACAACCAGTCCAGAGCCTCATCTCTGGTGTTAACAACCTTTGCCAGCCTCCATTTTTGGGCAGCTCCCATTGCTTAAAATATCCTTTTTTGTCTTTATTTTCAAATACTCTCTGCTTACTTAATTTCTGCTTTCACCAATGAATCCTAGACACACCACTTTTATCATTCTCACTATGCAATAGAGCTGACATTTTTGCCTCAAGTTCCCATTTAGATTGTTCATGTCAGTGGGGGCATAACAACTAATATTTGATCATGCCTGAAAATTAACAGTGAAGCCCTTTTACTTTGTATTTCTAGTGGTGACAGGTAGTTAATAAATGCAAAAGAATATTACATTCTATTACAGAGATGAATACTGGTTGGTGGTATAAATGAATATTGTCTATATTGAATTTCTCCAATCTTAGAATAGCATTATAAAAGGATCAATCATTTTGTTGTCATGGTCTTCTTTGGCTCCAATCCAGTTTATTGGATTCCTTTAGTTTCAAGTAACAGTAAAATGAATTGTCTCTTATATTGAATGGGAACATACTATGTTTGAGATAGAATTGAGATTTTATGACTTAGATAAAAATGAAACCACTAAAAATACAGGTTTCTTATCCATAGGCCAGTGAATTATATGTGAATAAAGTCTGTTACTTTTCCTTATTGAAGACTGATACTGTGTCACTGGAATTTAATTTTTGAGTTAAAGACTAGCATTTTGGTTCAGGCATTTCTTGTTTTTTGGAAGAGGCAATAGAAAAGATTATCTACTTTAATGTCCTTGATTTATAATAGAGAAATCAAGGTCCAAGTTCAGCCCTTAAAATGGCTTCTGTGTATGAGTTATCAAGCCCTACAATTTCTCCTTTAACTTGATCTAACAGTCACAATGAAAGGCTCATGAAGTTTTAAAACTAGTCTGGAGCTTGGTGATTATCTGGTCATACTTACTTTACAGTTGAAAACACTAAGAAGTGAATGGTTGTTCAAGGTCACACAGAGAATTACTGGCAGATTTGAGAGCAATAGTCGACTGCTCTTGGACTTTTCTAGATTATCTCATTTCCTCTCTTTTTAAAAAATTTCAATCAACCAATCAAGCTAAGCAATCACCTGTGTTTGAAGCTTCTCCACTGTGCTAAGCACTACAAAGTAATATGGGCAAATAAGGCAGAGAAATAAAATACTGTCCTTCTCATGGAAGAACTTGACAATCTTAGGAGACAAGATGCCTTAGGGAACAACCCAAGAAAAACTGAGAGACAATAACATCCTATGTTTTTGTGTCCCTCCATCTTCCATTTAGACACCTGCCTCTGTGCCCTCAGAAATCTCTGTTCTCATCTCAGCTTTAACCTTTATCTCATAGAATTGCTAGTTGTTCACTTAACTTTTCTAGGTTTCATTTTTGTTTTTAGATCCTTTGCCACTTGGCAAGTCAGTGCCTCACAATTTTCTACTCATAAACTTCAGGATTTGAAGCTACTAAAAATAACAAAATGTCAGAAATTCAGAACTCTTTAGAGTAAAGAAAAGAAGAAACAGCTTACACAGCTCAATACATTCTAACACGCTTCTCCCACCCTGGCCTCTCGCCTACCTTTTCCTTCTGTCTTACATTTGTAATGACATTTTAATTTAAAAGTTGATAAAATTAAACACAGAAAATAAACCCAGGAACATTTAATATTTGTAGATGGAGGCTGCGTTTTTAGTCAGATGGAACCTCCCAGCTTGACCAATTCATTTGTGGGAGTTGTACAGAAGAGTTGCTTGCAAAGAAAATCTTATGAGTAAATGATAAATGAAGTCATCCTTTTCAGAGAAGAAGAGTTATAGCTGGGGTAGAGGAGGCACCCTATGCATGGCCACAAAAGAGCAAGGTCCATGATTTTGGTGGTGATTCTTCCTTCCTTAGCGGTAGTAGGAGCATTAGGTCAAATCCCAGCTTTTGCTTGACCGTATTTGGATAAAACATCAGTATTGATCATAAGTACTATTAGCAAGACCTGCCTGTATTACCAGTAGCCAAGGCAGCAGAAGCAGAAACAGCAGGAAAAAGCTACAAATTGGGGCCATCAGGAGCAGATATAACTTGGCACTCAGAGCTACAGAACATGTGGGGAGGGGCAGCAACAGCAGCTTCCTGTGATTTTTCTGCAAAGATTGAAGAGAGACTCAGAGCTAGAATGTAAGTTTGTTACCCTTGTGTTTTTCCTCCATGCTCTTGACTTTTTTTTTAAGGTTATATGTCCAGGAGACTCAAGAGTTATGGAAGAAAAGGATGGAGCAAGGAAAGATGGGGCAGAAGGAAGGGAGCATGGACCATTATTGGGAACATTCTGTCTGTAGAAAGAACACTGTGATTGGTTAAAACAAAAATAGCAACAATAAAATTACCACATACCTCTGTGTTCTGGACAGTGTGCTGGACAGAAGGGACATTGAACAAAGTCATATAACTCTATGCGTATCTTTGTCTTAGCTCTTACATTATAATCATCTACTTGCCTATCTTTCTGCGAAGACTGAGGTTCTCTAAGGCAAGGATACTGTCTTTTGTATGTTTATGTCTGCAATGTGTAGTGTATCCTTGCTGGCTGTGCAAACCAAGACACTTGTGAGAATGGAGTGGGTGTTAAAAGTGATTACTCCCGGATGAGAGACACAAACCAGGAGTTTACCAGGCAAAAGGAAGAAGCACTGTACAGAACATGTATTTTCAAAGATAAATGCACCTTGGGTCAATTCTTTGAACTCATGGCAAATCTTGAAACAGCCTCCGAGCTAGGCAGCAATTGACAATGAAAGGCATTTTGACTCTGTATCAGCTGGCACACCTCTACCATTGTACATTACAGGGTCATACTGTGTAGAAACCCAGTAAGAGGCAGGCATGTATGAGACTAGATGTTCCACACTCATCCAAAGAATGACAAAACCATCTCAAGAAGAACATGATAAGGTCTGTTGGCAAAGATCTTTCTTGGCATCCCGGGAACTTCTGGGGTGAGTGTGTGCACTGAGTTCAAATCAGAATATCTGCAGGAAAAAAAATAAAAGAAGAAAAAGAAGCCAGACAAGGAAAGTAAGAGGAAATGGATATCGCTGCTGGAGACAATGACTAATTTAAGCAGAATAGGAGAAAAAGAACTTTTTTTTCCTTTGTGCCAGTTCCTTTTACACGACTTCAGAACGTTCTATGACAGCTCAGCGTGCAACTTGGCACTGTCAAAAGAGACCTGGGGAAGAAAGGAAATGCAGTAAGAAATGGAAACAGAATATCATTGTTGAAAGCCTGGAGACGATTTCCAGAGTTTTCTACTTAGGAGTGAATAAGAAAACAGGAAAAAACTTTTTTGAAGAAAAGTAAATGATAAATTTCTCCCTCATTCCATCTCTTTTCCCTAGAGGCAATAAGGAAAGGAATAAATTTTCATATTTGTCTGGGATTCTTCCTATGTAAAAAAAAAAAAAAGAACTTAGATAAAACAAAAACACTCTGCAAGACTCGTCATGGAGGGGTGGCCTTAGTGTGAAATGACAATGCCCGTCGATGGCAGGAAACCTTTTTTCTTTTTACCTTAGGTTTGGCCCCGATGCCCTTTGTCTAAGTCTCTTTTTTCTATGAACAGTAATTAGGGTCTGTGGCCACTATATGTATGGTCTTCCCATTCTTTCAGCCTGTCTTTCTTTCTTTCTCTTTCTTTCTTTCTTTCTTTCTTTCTTTCTTTCTTTCTTTCTTTCTTTCTTCTTTCTTTCTTTCTTTCTTTCTTTTTCTTTCTTCGTCCTTCTTTTTAAGTTCTGGCATATATGTACAGAACATGTAGGTTTGTTACATAGGCACACATGTACCATGGTGGTTTGCTGCACCTATTGACCTATCCTCCAGATTCCCATCCCTCACCCCCTACCCGCAACAGGCCCCAGTGTGTTTTGTTCCCCTCCTTGCATCCACGTGTTCTCATTGTTCAACTCCCACTTACGAGTGAGAACATGGGGTGTTTGGTTTCCTGTTCATGTGTTAGTTTGCTGAGGATGATGGCTTCCAGTTTTATCCATGTCCCTGCAAAGGATGTGATCTCATTCTTTTTTATGGCTAGATAGTATTCTATGTTGTATATGTAACACATTTTCTTTATCCAGTTTATCATTAATGGGCATTTGGGTTGGTTCCCTGTCTTTGCTATTGTAAATAGTGCTATAATAAACATATGTGTGTGTGTGTGTTTATAGTATGATGATGTATATTCAGCTTTCCTGTAGCACATTTGAAGTAGACATGCAAGAGTTTTCAACAGACCACTCATTCATTGCAAATAAAAAAAAAGGGTGGGGGGAGAATGAGTGTTTATTCTTTTTTGTAAAGGAATTGTAGCTCACTCAGATTCATTGCTGGACACCCAAGGGTATGCTCAGAGGATTATAGTTCCTTCTCCCACAATGGTACTGTGACTTTGCATTGGCAGAGACTGAAGGTGATCACATCTTGTTCTCATGCCCTTTTTTCTTGATTGCCTTCTCTTCTCTTTGCTTGGTTAAACATGTGAGCTTGTAGCCCTTCAAAGGCTAGTACACATCAGAGTCTTCCCTTCCTCCCATGCTTCTTACTGGGATTATGGTATATACATCCTTGGCTTGCTAGGCAACTCTAGACTGTGTGTGTGTGTGCACATGTGTGTGTGTGTGTGTGTGTGTGTGTGTATGTGGATGTTTTGTGCATACAAGCATTTGGTACATATATGTACATGTGTGTCACATATATACAATGTGTGTTGTCTAGTGGATGCATACATATTGTACATGGTGGTTTACTGTATTGGATGTGTTGTGTGTATGTGTGTCTGATGTAGATATGATGCATTGTATACATGGTTTATGCATATTGTGTGTATGTGTGTAATATGCATGTGTTGTGTGTTGTATATGTGTTTGCATGTTGTGTTTTGTGTGTTGTGTGTTCAGTGTGTGTGATGCATAGGTTGTATATATGTCTTGTGTGTATTATGTGTATATGCATCATTGGAAATGTTGAACTGCTTTCTTATGCTCATCACTTTTGCTGGGTGTGCTCTAACTTACCAATATTTCATTTCGGCTTTGGGCTACTGGAACCATATTTCTTCAGATATCTCTGGGTAGTGCACAAGATGACAGGACTCCAGACTCACCATTCCTCTGCAAACAACTGCTGGGTTTCTACAAGTTCATCAGTTATTTAGCATGCACAAACCTCTCCCTGGAGCCTTCATCGTCTCTCCGTTATCACTCACCAGCCTGTACTTTCTCACGGGGTTGTCAACTAATTCTCTCTGTATGTTCCTCACTTCCCAGCCATTCCTTAAACTGCAGTTATGCAACCTTCCTCTGCCATCATGACTCCACTGAAGATGGCCTCCCTGTGGTTAATGAAGAACTAACTGCCAAATTCACTGGACACTTTTTAATCTTTGCATTATAAACACCAAACAATTGTAAGCATCGTCAAACTCTTCCTTCTACTTGAAATTCCTCTTCTGAAATCTGCAGCAGCATACAGCAGTTTCTCAAATAATGTTGTTTAATTCAACATTGTTTAATTATAACGTTTAAGAAAAAAAAACGTTTAAAAAAAGTGTTTGGGGTTTCTATTTAGAAGTATAATGATGTGACCAGGAGCGGTGGCTCATAGCTGTAATCCCAGTACTTTGGGAAACCATGACAGGCAGATTAAGAGGGTTAAGAGTCTGAAACCATCCTGGTCCACATGGTGAAACCCTATTTCTACTACAAATACAAAAACTAGCTGGGTCTGATGGTACATGCCTGTAGTCCCAGCTACCCAGGAGGCTGAGGCAGAAGAATGGCTTGAACCTTGGAGGTGGAGGTTGTAGTGAGCTGAGAGTGTGCCACTGCACTCCAGCCTGGCAACAGAGAGAAGATCTGTCTCAAATAAATAAATAAATAAATGAAGTATGATGATGTTTTTCTGACCAGGCTATACAGTAGAAGCTTGAGTGTTGTTAATATCAATTAGCCTATGGTAAAATTGGTTTGTCACAGATTGTTTTGTTTAGAGTTGCCGTTTCCAAAAGCTTACTCACAACAATAAGTAAGGTCTTTCTGCACTGCCATACTCCTGCTGCTTCTCTAGCAGCTCCTCAATCTTCTCCATCTCATTCTCTTTTTGGGTCCATTTTAAAAATGTTAGCTCCAAGTACTCCATTGCGGTCTCTATATTTTAGTCTATGCATTTTCCCTGACTGATCACACTTACACACTCAGCCTCATTTTCCTCCTCAGGAATGACCCACAAGAGTCCAGGTTAAGCCAAGACCCCTTCCAGGTGCAGACCTGAGTTCTGCCTGCCTCTGGGACAGCTCCCTCTGGGTGTATCAGCAATGATCCCCTCCACGATCTGCTCAGAGCCCATGTGTCCTCCTTCGTGTGTCACTGGCAGCACTAAGCCTGTGGTCACTCAGGTCAGAAACTCAAAAGGGCTGCTTACCTCTTGGGGAGTGAGAATCCTATTTTCCTCAGAGGGTTGTTGTGGGACTAAAATGAGATAAGCAATACAAATGAATTTACATCACCTAGCTTTTAGTAGGTATTCAGAATATATGTTTTTTTTTTCTTTTTCTCTCTTAAAAATTGTCATGAAAGTTCATTGAGTCAGAGATTAGTTATAGATGGGAGATTTCAGAGACATGACTTCAGTAAACAATCAAACAAAATTACAATATTTAAATAACAAATCAAGGACTGTCTCTCTGCAACACATGAATTAACAATGCGATTCTACAACATCTCCATTACTGATGCTTAGAAATCTGTGGGATTGGAGGACAGGAATTGTATTTTCTACTTTGTAGACAGGGAAATTGTGCTTCTGGTGGATTCTGTAACTTCACCAAAATCACCCAGCTGGCCAGTAGCAGAGCGGGGACTGAAATAATCAGAAAAATCAGAATCCAGTTTTAAAGAGTGTATTCACATGAAAAGCTGGGAATGGCCATCTGGAAAACACAGACATCAGAGAAGTGAGGTCAGTTATCTGAAGTTAAGATTTTGCCTAAACAAACAAAAAAAATAACAGGATTACAACATCTTCTGTATAAGGCTGGTTTACAAGTTATAACAATTTAATTGGTTACAGTTTGTCTTTTCTGTACAACTTTTTAAAATTTCCTTTCCAACTTAAAGGAGTATATTTAACATTCAGGTACACCAGAGGTCCTCAAGACCTGGCCACAGATGGTCTGTGGCCTGTTAGGAACTGGTCCACTCAGAGGAGGTGAGCTGTGGGCAGGCAAGCCTTATCATCTGAGCTCTGCCAAATCAGTGGTGGCATTAGATTCTCATAGGAGAACAAACGCTATTGTGGACTGTGCATATGAGGGATCTAAGTTGCATATTCCTTGTGGAACAGTTTCATCTCAAAATCATACCTCCCACTCTACTCCCATGCATGAAAAAATTATCTTCTATGAAGCTGGTCCCTGGTGTCAAAAAGGTTGGGACTGCTAGATTAGATAATGTGACAGCTGTGAAGTCTTTGAGTGAGAGGGAAGTTACTTTATAACAAAGATCAACAATAAGAGGGTAAGGGTCTTCCCTTCCCTGGTGCCTTTTAGTCATTTACATTTTACATGGCAATATAGGTAAGGGAGGAGACTAATCTATAGTAAGAGAAACAAAGTTTACAGCTGCCTATGTTATGGCTGCCTATGTTGTAGCTGCTTATCACCTGACTCAGGCCCTATAATCTTATTCCTTTAAGGCTCAAAATAATTTAAAGTTCCAACAGTTTAGAGTTGGAATTATTTATTTTCACTCCTCCCAAATATGTGTTCCTTCTGTTTCTTGTGGCCTGCCAATAAAAAGGTAGGTAATGTCTCTCTAACAAGGTAGTCATTGCCTAGTTGGACAGATGGACAGGCGACCATCTGTTTCTGAGTTCAAAGCAGAGGGCAGTGGCTGAATTAAGAGGGTCTAATCACCATGAAAGTCCTTGGTGAGGTTGAAGCTTATGATCGTTTTTAAGACAGGGACTTAGATCAGGGGAGAAAAGTGGCAGAGGCTTGCTAAGCCTGTGATGTGACACATAGAATGAAATAGATGAAGGAGTAGCTTCAGGAATATATATCTGCCAGACACATGATGTAGATTACTTTGCCTATCTATAAGTGATAATTTCTAGAAGAGTGAGTACAATGCAGTGCCGGGTGCCAACGCAATTCAAATGAACTAAGTTCACCATTTTATAGTCAGTAAAGTGGAATCA